TAACAAAAGCCAAGTGACATCAGAACTGGGGTCCTTCTCGAGCTTTTTCATGAGGCTTTGCAGAGTGCCCAAGAAGCGGTACAGCTTTGTGTATTCCTTCGTCAGGAGCTTGCGGCCATGGACACGTTGGAGGAGGCAGAGCTGTTTTGCGACCTTCTCATCGAAGAGATACTGCAGCCCAAGCCTAAGTTACACGACGGAATTGTTCGATCATAGTTTCGTCATTTATTAGTGATCTCAGGAGCAGAAGGAGGAAACAATTCCGAATCAGCCGAAGTACTTGGCAGCCTTCAACAGAGGGTCTTGGATGGTCTTGCCATCATAGTAGAACACCTTGTTGGATTTCAGCCACGCTACCATATCCTTGGCTTTTCCTGTGTAGGACTCGTAGACCACAGAGAACCTAGGTTGGCCATGTAAGCCTCTGACACAAACCCTGTATTAACCTCCTCTTAGGGCGCATGGAAAATTAAAAACAAAATACCAAAGCACCACTGTCTGGAAACTTCGAAAGCCAGGATGTAAAAGTGTCCTCCATCAGAGAGGCCTTCATGTGCTCGGTCGAGAAATTGATGGCCATCTTCGCCAAGGCCAGGCCTAGGCAGAAGCACTTTGCACACCCACAACATTAATAAATTGAAATCTGATTCTTTATTTTAAATTACTTAAGCTCGAAAGCAATACACAAAACGTTCGAGACACCATCTGGGACGATCTGCAAGCGGATCGGGATGCTGCGGGAGCAGGCCATCAACTTGTCCAGGTGCGACCAGTCCTGTGCAAGAAAGGCCCGGGAGATGGCGAGCAGGAGGGCCCAGCAAGGCAACAGAGCACCTTGGCAAACGGAGAGGCCTGTTGGGAAGTCGGAGGACCAGTCGTGAAGACCCGAATCTGCTTTGAAGCGGTAGGCCGGCACGATGATGTTGAACGGCACGAAGCCGTTCTCAACCTTGAGCGGCCCAAACCCTTCTGCAAATTCGCATAACGATTCCCAGTCCAGATTGTCGAAGGGAGTGACCCCCCTTTCATCAGGGTACAGCTGGAGCCACCAAAGGCAGCCGGCAGCCTCGTACTGATTGTGCTTCTGCAGAGAGGCCTGACAATTCCCACAACTCCAAGCCTCACGGAAAGAAGCAGAAACCGACTCGTCCAGACTTTGAATCTTGCCGGGCTCAAGAGCGGCCAAGGAAGTGCAGCCACCATACCCAGTCACGTTACCAGCGAGGCCCTGCGGCAGGCTCTGCTGCAGCCAAGGGATGAGCCGTGACATCTCCTCCCAGACCTGCACAGAGAGCGACCTCTTCGGCTCCTGCCATGCCTCAGCCTTGCCAGGCACAGAATGATCGGAGAGTCTCGGCCTCGTTGCTGGCAGTAGCTCTGTGTTGTCTTCCATCTGCCGCTTGCCCGAACACCTTTTAGATGGAGCAGCCACCTTTGCTGCCATGGCTTCAAGAGGACCGTTTAACGGTCCGACCCACGACGAGACTTGGAGCGGCTGCAGCAAAAGGATTCGGCTTTAGCTTTAACTGCGACCAACAGGAATTTGCAAGCTCAGGCAAGAAGTAGCAACAGCACACCCGGACACTTAGGGCCTCACAGTCAGAAGCAGTTTGCAGCAGCTATCCTGTCTGAAGCCTGAGAGCTCAAGAGAAGGCTGACCTGAAAATGTCTCCCTACAGAGACAGTCAGGCCTTGAGCTCTAAACTGCAGGAACTTCTCTGGGGTTCTGGCTTGGGAGAGACCGAAGAGACACCTGAGGACAACACACAACTGCAGAATTGGCATTCTAATTTTCACCAAGGGTTATTGATAACCTTTGGTGAAAATTATGGTACTGAAATGTATGTATTTCACTTTTAAATAAAAGTGAAAAAACATATAAGGAAGTGAAAAAAAGAATTATTGATAACCATTTTTCACCAAGGGTTATTGATAACCGTTGGTGAAAATGTCTATGGATGTTGTCTATAATTTTCAAACAGAGATGTCTCAAAGCTGGATAGTCTAAGCTTTGACTTTGCCTGAACTCTCAGCCTGCTAAATCCGACAGTGGTGAGCTTAGCTGAGGGGGTGGCTTCTGCTGTCTGCAGCTCCGGTGCTGGCCGGAAGCCTCAGCCACTTTGAGGCAGTGGTGCCAAGCAAGAACTGCCACTGTCTAAGAGAACCACAATGGCATACACTTTGTTTCAACAGCAGCTCATCACACCCCAGTGGCTAGGCTCTTCTGCAGAGGGTTCCGCCTACCAGTTGCTCTGACAAAGCTTCTCTGTCGAGGAAGCACAGAAGCTTAGTTTGAGGTCGTCTCTAAGGACAAAGAGAAGCCTGGTGCAGCAACTGGAAAGGCCTGAACATCAGTATGAATTAGTCAGTCTAAGGACAAGAAGCCTGGTGCAGCAATTGAAAGGGCCCTTGATTAAAGGCAACTTCACAATAAAATATTGCAATTTTTTGATTGAGTCCTAGAGGGGCCTTGAAAAGCTTCTGATAGGCCTCTGAGATTCTTGAATCTGAAAGAGATGTGTCACTGAAATGACTCTTCAGACGACCCTGTCCAGACACAAAATTGCGGACAGGATCGTCACACCGATGCAAGGCACGGACATGCAGTTGCCAGCTGCAGAAAGTGCTTGCTGCCAGGAGAGGCCCTCGTGCATAAGACGAGGGGCCTTACAGGAAAGGGACTGCCTGGTGGTCACAGGAAGGCCATGGGATGCGAAAGCCTCCTGTGGCGACAGGAGTCGCTGAGCGGCCTGCACGGCCACGTGTGTTGACAGTCACAAAACAGTAGCAACAAGGACTCAATCGAACTTGGAATGAGAACCCATGGTGTCCTGACTGTACAGCATCGAGGAGGTCAACAGTGTAGGCAGAGCAGCCCCACGCTTGCACCCACGAGGCCTGTTAACAGGGTTTTGGGACAAGTCGACGACCTCCAGGTGGGGAGCGGCTTTCCGATAGTTCAGCAGAAACTTGGCCTCAACCAGGAAGACGACAAGAAACGACACATGCACTTGAAAGTGTGCAATACTGGCCTGGCTGCTGGAGAGAGACTGCCGCTTGTCAGGGGACCACCAAAAGTCACGCAGCACGTGCTTGCTGTTGGGAGTGGCCCGCAAATTTTCCACTATTTTGGCGAAACTTGGTGCACTGAGATTCCAAGCCACTCGGTCCTGAGAGACAGAACAAACACAAACACACACACACACAGACACACACGAACACAGACACACACAGACACACACACACACACACACACACACAAACACACTCTCGCTATTACAGGCATAACTTGTTTCAGCCTGGTGTCTGTGCGCCATGCAATGATAAACTTACGTGTGCGAGCTGCCCGGAAGCCGAAGAGCTGTGGGTCGATGACAACGGACTGCATCTTCCACACGACCTTTGTCTTGCGACGCAACTGCTGCAGGAACGCTGCAATGTTGTACGTGGGCACGTTTTCCACAACAGCACAGTCGAAGTCCACAACGTTCTCGCTGAACGTCCTATGCACCGCGTACTTCGGATCGGAGAGGCCCTGCTTTTTGCCCATGATCGAGAACATGGTGCACGGTGGGCCTCCCACAGCGATCTTGAGACCTTAGGGCTCAGAGAGCGAAGATCTTGCAAAGGCAATACATTCAAATTCCATCATTGGTTAAAAAAGTCGGTCGAGGCACCAGGCTTCTGGAGAGGCCAGGTCGGGCATTGACGACCATGCTGACAGCACCAGTTGAGAGGCCTTGAAGTCTGGAAGTCGAGGATGTCCGGGCTGATGCAAGAACTTGGATAAGTGCTCCTGAGAACCTCCTGGCATCCCTTATTGATCTCACAAGACCAGTGAAGCCTCATCCGTGGCTTCCCGAGGTTAAGAGCGGCCAAGCTCCCTCGCAGACTCCAGATGGCCTGTGCACAGACAAAGCAGCAGCAAGAAGGGCACACTGCAACCGCACTTGAGAGTAGACGCCCTTGCTGAGCCACCGACACTCTCAGCGCACCCGACACCACTGAAGAAGCTGGCGAAGGTCACGTCAACCGCTCTCAGTCGGGACACGAAGAAGTTCGCACCGAACAGCTTCTGGGTGGAGCTGACACACTTCTTCCACCAGTCGTACTGGCCCTCCAAGGTGGAGTGGCCCAAAGGAGCATCTGAGAGCGGCCTCGCTATCGTCGTCCACCGGTAAAACCTTGATAAATTTGCTGAAGGTCTCAATGGTCATGGAAGCAAAAAACACCATACACAGAGACACCCAACCAGCACTACCAAGTCAAGGTTCCGCTGCTTCTGGGCGGCCACCTTCATGACCTTCTTCCGGTTCCTAGGAAGGCTCCGTACAAGTGGTGCTGCTACTATAGGCTAGCAGCACAAAAGCAAGCCCGGGTATGTGGAGCTGCCTGGTCTCCGGAGTGGCCTTGGGCATGTTTTTCCGACCAGGAGAGGTCCTGATGGATCAGGAAAAAGTCTAATCCTGGGAGGACTACGAACCTGAACATGATGGGACTGTCCTTCTAGAGGTCAAAGGGTGCCTGAAGGTCATAACAGACGAAGGCCAGCACCTGCGGGATCAAAGCATGACAACAATAATGACATGATTGCGAAACTTCCCCAAATGCCTTGTGGTCCGGACGGGCCACAGCCACAGAAAAGCCCCACTTGAGAGACCCAAAGCTGCAGCATGTAAGACACTGAACCGAAGCACAAAGTCATGTGTTCAAGCTGACCTGCTTTGTGCGAACTGCTGAATAACTGTGCTCCCCACACAGAATCGTCAATGTCGCTCCTCAGCAGGCCTCGGCCAAAGAGGAAGGAATCAGGCATGACCCAAGACCGACAGGATGCTTGGACTGGCAGGCAATTATTGCATATACTCTTTGCTTTTTCTTCCCCCTCCATAAATGCACACCTCGTCCCCTTTACAAGGCATGACAGCCAGACGAAAAAACAGGAACGGCCTGGGAACCCCTAAGCACTGACCTAACAGTGCTCGATCCTGTACAAAGCCTCAATCCGCAGATCGCCTTCGCCTCTTCGGTGGTGTCTCTGGCACGTAGGACTCGACCTGCTGCAATCTTGCCTGAGTGGCCCGGAGGGCCTCACGAGCGGCCTCGAGTTGCTTGAGAGCCTCGTCCCTGGCAGCTGTGACGATCCAGAGCTTGTCCTCGAGGTCCAAACACTGTTTCGCAGACTTCCTGAGCTGCATGCTGGCTGACTCTTATGGAAGCAGAGACAGAACTCATCAACCCGAAAAGTTTTAAATTCTTTCCTGGGCACCTTGAGCGACCAGTGTTTTTCCTGTTCTTCTCGTAGATCCTCTGCTTTTCCTTGCGCCTCGCCTTGGAGTCTTCCTTGTCTTCAAGAACGACCACGACATCGTCCTGCTGCTCCACTTTGACCTTGACAACCGCTAAGGCTGGCTCGCCTTTCACCATGGCTCTAAGGAACGACCCAGGATAAAACAAGAGAGGCTTGACAGCATCAGAGAGACCTATGTTTCATGTTATCAAACACACAGCACCAAGAGACATGAATGATGAAACCCAGCAGTGAGACCCAGCACCATGACCCGGCGCTGGGACCCGGCGCCGGGACCCGGCGCCGGGACCCAGCACCAGGACCCAGCACCAGTACCGATCATGTTGTGCATAGTTTTAGCATAAGCTTTCGTGGTTTGCATGTCGAACGTCTAGATAGTTTAGGAATCAAGCAAACTTAAACTTATGCTACTGAATTTAATTAGATAAACTTCAAGTTGTGTTTTATTTTAAATATTCAAATGTTACATAACTATGTATGTTATATGGGTTTTGTTCTAGTAAATAAACTGCTTTAAAACCTGGGACCCGGCGCCGGGCCCCAGTTATATTAGCTGTCTTTTAGATTAGCTTTCGCTGAACTTTAAGCAAAAAAGAACAGCTTAGCTGTAGAGATCATCTCCTGAGTTTATTTAGCAGTGTGCAGCTGTTGTAGTGCTCAGGCGAGGACGACCGGGGCTTGTGTCCGTCAGAGAAGGCCACGTCCACCAAGAGAGGCCCAACACCTTTGGCCAAGACACTAAAGGAACATACTAACAAAGACACTTGTGCGCAGAAAGGGACCAGCACGTAAGCCAAGGCCAGGGCCTGTGTGGCTCAGGCAGATATGTGCCTGCACGAAGAAAAACTGGACCGACGTGAAATGGCATGTCGCACATGAGGGCAGTGGGCAGCACGCGCAAGGGCTTTTTGTGCTCTTCCTGAGGAGTTCGATCACCATCTGCATCAGTCCGACCACCGCCTGCGCCTAGAGCGAGAGCGGCCAGAGTGAACTCTAGAGCGGCGCTCATGGCTGTCATCTTGGTCCTGTGCAGAGTCTTGGGCATCAGAGTGGCTCTGTGCAGACAGATCTTGGGCACTGGGGCGGCCCTGTGCAGGGCGGTCTTGGGCACTATTGCGGTCCTGCGCAGGGCGGTCTGGGGCACTAGAGCGGCCCTGTGCAGGGCGGTCTCGGGCACTAGAGCGGCGGTCTCGGGCACTAGAGCGGCCCTGTGCAGGGCGGTCTCGGGCACTAGAGCGGCCCTGTGCATGGCGGTCTCGGGCACTAGAGCGGCCCTGTGCAGGGCGGTCTCGGGCACTAGAGCGGCCCTGTGCATGGCGGTCTCGGGCACTAGAGCGGCCCTGTGCAGGGCGGTCTCGGGCACTAGAGCGGCGGTCTCGGGCACTAGAGTGCCGCTGTGCAGGGTGGTCTCGGGCACTAGAGTGCCGCTGTGCATAGTGGAGGCTGTCCAGGAGGTTTTGCCGCCAGTTGGTGCGCCTCGATATGCAGCTGTCAGTCTTGACAGTCCAAGGCAAGCATGATGAGACTAATGGACACATGGGTAATAATCTTGCGAAGTAGCCCATGGTAACGCGTGTCCACTTGACGGGGATTGGCGGCCTCTTCGTTCACAGCAGCAAAGGAGGGACCTGATTCTGATCACTCGACTGGCTTGGCTGTGGAAATATTCAGTGCAGCAAGTTGTGTTTAAGTTAAGACAGGCCACCATTGAGCTCTTCGATGGCGAAGCGGCAGGCTTGAACGACCAGGTTCTGCGGGAAAGCGTGACGCTCCTTAGCTGACTTCTGAACCCCTCCTAAAAGTGATCTTAGCCTTCTTATTATAAATGTAGAAACCCAAAAAGTTAAAGTCTAAAGAGCCAACCAAAAGAACACCAAGGCTCATACTCCTCAGGCACGCTGTCCCTGATGCTCAACAAAGGGTGGTCGAGCAACAGCTGCGGCAACACGGAGTTGACCAAAACTTCTTGAGCGGCCGCCTCCGAGACCTCCGCCAGGTTCGCGAAGGTTGCCATCCTCAGTGTACATGACAATTCAATGTTTCCCTAACTTCAATGCTGTCCTTCGGCCTAGGTGCCCGTAGTCGTCGGTGTCGACCGACTCGAGAAGCAGAGCGGCCTCGATGTGGTCCTCGACGAGTCGACGGCGAACCTTTGCAGAGAAAGCCACACAATGCAGGTCAGAATGCAGGCATGGAACACCTTGAGCAAAGCCACTTCCTGGAAGGCCCGCCTCTTCACATCACGACGGTCTTCCACGGTGGCGAACATGCGGATGTCTTGGTGACAAGTCTGAGCGGAGCGGCCACCGTCACCGTCATCGACGGAGGTGGATCGGGGCTGACTAGAGGTGGATCCAGAAGGCACGGCCCTTAACGCAGTGGAAGGAGCCGCCCTTAACGGAGTGGAAGGAGCCGCCCTTAACGGAGTGGAAGGAGCAGCTTTGGGAGGCGTGGCCTCGTCAGCAGTCTTGTCGTCGAAATCAGCTGGGTCTTCTTCGTGAAATTCATCCTCCTCCAAGCTCACGTCGGAGGTTTCTTCCACAGCTGCAGCTGCATCGGCTTCCGAGAAAGGCTCCATGCACAAAGCCCGAAAAAAGGGGCCTTAAAGGAAGGCCCAAGGCTGTGGCTTGAGAGGAAAGACCTCCACCAATTCCAAGTTGCACTGTCACAGAATTGGCAGGCACCCACAGCTGCGACAAACTAGACTACAGACAAAGAGCGCTGGCCTGTGTCCACCCACATCACGACAGGGAATCACCACGGACCTTGGCAAGTGACACCAGGCAAGGCCGACGACAAACACACTTAACAGGCAGCTTCCAAAAGGAGATAAATGCTCTGTGCCCAAGGCTGAATGCAACGACTATTTTGTCCTGATGCCGTGGCTCTCCTTTCAAAAACAGCTAGAGAGGCCGTCCGTCATTCAGTTCTTCCTGATGCCGTGGCTCTCCTTTCAAAAATCCCAGTGGCTAGAGAGGCCATCAGTCACTTTGATCGGCCGTCAGCCTGTCAGAGTCATTTTGAGGATGGCTTTCCGACGCTGCTCACCTCAGTGTTCAGGGAGGCTGCGGACACACTGAATCCTGTCACAAAACCGTATCACCAAAGAAGTAAATCCGTTAACCTCCGAAATCCCTCCGAGTCACGAATGACTCTGATTTCCCTGAAGACGTGCCGAATAATGACCGCTTCGGGATAAGTCCAGATAGCGGCTTGGGTCATCCTCTCTCTGCCCTCACCCTGGGTCACGAGGATATTGTTTCCTGAGTGTAGTGGGAAGTGCTGAGAAAGAGCCGACAAAGACCAGATTGCTGCCATGCTTCGGATCAGCCTGTGGATGAGGGAGCTGGCCGAAAACGATCCCGCCGTGGAGTGGCGATGCAGGCAAAGCCAGGCCTGACTGAGTCTGCTTACATACTTCAATCCAACTGTGTGGCCCCTGACCCTTTCACACGCAGGCGAGTCACTACCCAGACTTCCGTCGGCATGTCGTAAAGAGCGGCCGCTGCGTGAGGACTGCGCCGGAGGACCTCTGCCTTAAGGCGGGCGCAAAGCCAGTCGAGCCTCTCCGCACGGGCGTTCCGGGGATCGACCGGAGGATAGCACTGAGTGGCCTTGGAGACTTTTACCATCGTGGGATGCTGAACGAGCTGGCTATGATGGTCCATCGAGCCTTGCATTTAAGTCTTTAATGGCCTAGCTTGGGCAAGCCTTGCAGCTTCGTAGCTGTGTACATGTTGACACATCAGTCGTCTTAAACAGATTCGAAAAGGAATCGCCCTCTCTTTTGAACCAGGGCTTTCGCAACAGGCAGCAAAGGTTGCACATGCAAGCTGCGGGCATCACTCTGTGTGTCCGAAGTTCAGGGCCAGGCGAATTGCCCAGCCAGGACCAAAAGGCACTCATAGACACCTGGCAGCAGCACACCACGAGAGGCAGTTTAAGTTTTCCCAGGATGCCCAGGCAATGCTTTCTGAGCTGAGTGCCCAACACCTGTATCGATGTTCCACACGAGAGGGTGGGTGCTGCGCTCCGCTCAGGCCTGGAACGTTGCAATGGGCACACACACACAAACACTCAGAAACAGGAAGAGCAGCTGTCTGCCCTTGCAAAAGCCAAGGGTGGCACTTGCTTGACGAAAACAGATGGGATGCCACCTGCGCCACGAGGGCATGCAATCTCTGGTCACTGAATTGAGACTCTGAGCAGGTAGTTTTTTCTGTGAGAGTCGCGATCTTACTGTACACAGGCCGGCGGCCAAGACTTAATGGCTGCCGTACTTGTAATGATCGAGCGGGCATCAGGGTCCCGAAGAGCTGCCAGGATTATTCCTTATTTCGTGAACCGAGCTTCAATAAAGCAACATTAGTTCGAGGGACAGCAAGTCGCAGCCGAGTTACCCTTGGGAGTTGGAGCGGCCTTGCTCCTGCGAGCCAGAGCTGCCACCAGTGACATCGTTGTCATCGTCGCCGTGGTACTGATGCCTTATTTTGCGAAAGAAGTGCATTTCGCCGACAAGGAAAGAAACCACCTGAGAAGCCAACCAAAAACTCACAGCCGAGGCACCATTGGGTGTGGCATTTGTTGTGGCTCCTTGGACCGATAAAATCACAATCTTCAGAGGCCCGGGCCGTAATTGAATGTAAACTCACAGCCCAGCCGAGGCACCACCCCTGTTGCTGGCTGGCAGACTTCCAATTCCTTGTGTTACTCAAGTCAACTCAAAGGTAAGCAGAATTCAAAGCAGCCCAGGCACCATTGGGACTGGTCGTCGTGCTGCTGCCAGTCGTTCCAGGACTGCCACCAGTTGTCATCGGAGTGGCCCCACCACCACCTCAGTTGATGCCCAGCCAAAAAGGCGATGGAGTAAAGCAACTTCGCACATCACCCGACAATTCAGTGAAGGATCTGGTCGTCCTCCTCCTCATCATCCTCTTCCTCGTCCTCCTCGGAGGACCCGCTCGCATCGTCCTGGACCTTGACATTGCTGGACTTCTTCTCGAAGTCCTTGCCTGAGCTTCAGACAAGAGATACTTCCGAAGAAACAAGTTCACGATGAAAGGCGGATTGTGAGGCGAGC